CGAGTGGGGTCCCAGCAGTGGGGAGGAGTGGGACGGCTGCAGCCAGCGGGGCCCTGTCCCTGGGGACACGAGTGGGGAGGAGCAGGATGGCTGCAGCCAGCGGGGCCCTGGCACCCAGCTGTCCCCGGGGACGAGGAGGGATTCTCCCAGCCCTACCCCCTCCCCACACTCTGACACCCACCCCAACCTTCCTGGTCAGACCACGAGACTCCAAGCGATGTTTTGGGATGGATTCTTCATTTGCCATCCAGTTTTTGAGCCTCCATCTGGGGGGTCCGGGCACATTTTCCATCGCCCCGAGCACTGGGCAGTTGTTCTCTTATTTAAACCTGAGTCAGGTTTTCCTCATCCCCACAGGCAGCGAGGGAATTCTGGGCGAATGGGCAGCCCTGCACGTGGGGCTTTTCCAGCTGCTGTTGGGGCAGGTTTGGGACACACTTTGGCCACCACCACCTCAGCAAGAACAGAAGATTTCCCCAGCCCGGGTGCAACCCAGAGCTGTGCCAAGCTTGCCTTTCCTTGGCAAAGTGACCCAGTGGTACCCGTGTCCCAACCCCCCGGGCAGCGCAGGGCCCTGGGAGGGAAGCAGCTCTGCTCCCAGGAGGATGTGATGCTCCTGCACGGGGCTGGTGCAGCCTGAACGTGGCTCCCAGGGAATTCGGGTGGTGCAGGAGGGACCCAGCCCTGGAGAGCTGCAGGGATGGGATGATGGAGAAAGGGAGAAGAGGAAGGATGCAGCCAGAGGCAGGGTGGGGGAAGCCCCCACGGCAGCGTGGTGGGGCTGGCAGGAGGTAGAAGGTGGCAGCGTCGGCACCAGCCGCCCCGCGCACCGTTTTCTATCGGGGGCCCTTATCTCGCAGGGGGGTGGGAGCAGCTGCCGGGGCCGGCTCCTCTATCTCGAGAGGCTGTGGTTTGGCATCGAGCGCGGGGCTGACGAAGCGGCAGGAGCGTCTGAGCTGCCTCAACGTCCTCAGCCTGCAGCGGGTTTTGCTGAGCGCCTTGTTTTCGTTTCTCATCTCTTCGCCCGCTGCGACGTAGGGGCAAAGCTGCCGGAGGAAAGCGGGCGGCTTCCTGCCTGCTGCATGGCATGGCACGGCATGGCACAGTGGCTCTGCTGCCACAAGTCCCAGCCAGCCCCAGCAAGCCCCAGGCCACCGTGCCATGAGGTGGAGCAGCCCCCAGTTGGCTGGGCGACAACCAGAAGTGGGCAAAGGGACCAGGGCCACCATCAGTGCATCATCCAGGGGACACCGGGCATCCCTTGGGGCAGGGATGTCAAATTCCCCGTGGGGAGGAGAGGAGGAAAGCTCAAGCCCTGGGGGTCCGAGGGCTCTGGGTGCACATCCAGCTCTCCCCGAGCATTTTTGGCATCTCTTCTTTACTATGAGGGTGGTGAGAGACTGGAACAGGTTGCCCAGGGAAATTGTGGATGCCCCATCCCTGGAGATGTTCAAGGCCAGGCTGGATGGGGCCTTGAGCAACCTGCTCTGGTGGGAGGTGTCCCTGCCCAGGGCAGGGGGGTTGGAACTGGATGATCTTTAAGGTCCCTTCCAACCCAAACCATTCTGTGATTCTATGATTCTTGAGGCTGCAGCACCCATGGGAGGGACACAGAGGGGAGCGGGCAGCAAGCACTGGGCAAACGCTCCCCGGCTCCAACCCCAACCCCGTGCAAAGCCCCAGTGCAGGGGCAGCCACCACCTCATTTCGGCAGCTCTTGGTGGCTGCACATCCCCATCTCGGAGGTGCAAAACCCTCCGTGCACCCGCTCACGGTGACGCTGCTCCCAGCACCGCTGCAGCACCCGCCGCTGACACAACCAGGCTTTCAGATCCAGTTTAAGAGTTGGTTTGGTTTTTTTTTCCCTCTCAACTTTTTAATGGTGTTTGGGAGACATCCGCTCCTGGAGGCACCCCTGGACGTGTCTGAAAGGTGGGAGTGGGTGATGGGGACGGATCACAGCCCCCAGCCCACGCTGCCTTGCACAGAGGCACAGGACTGGCCCCTGGTCCCCATAACCAGGGTCATTCAGTGATGGGACCGAAGCTGTTCGGGGCTTCCCAGGGGCTGGACGGGGCCCTGCTCCCACCCCGGGCAGAGGGAGGAGAAAGGAGACCCTCAGCCATGACATAATGGCTGATGAGGGGCCTGATCCTGCAGCCCCCCTCCCCACACCCGCCCCAAAACAAAGCTGGTCCCAAACCTATTCCCATCTTGGTAAACCCAGCACCCATAAATCACCCACTTCAGGGCATCCCGATGCCAACCTGCTGGCACGGGGTGGGGATGGGACAAGGATGCTTAAAGAAAATGAATATAAAATATATACAGAGAGCACTTGAGGGGATGCAGCCGCCCGGCGGGCACCGGGCTGGTGTGTGCCCATCCCCGGGGGGCTCAACCCCCTGGAAAGCCGAGCGAGGACCCCTCTGCCGGGGGGGTGCTATAGGTTGGTGATGTACACCTCCAGCCCGTTGGCCGCCGTCCTGGCGGGGGCTCGTCGGGACTCCCCCGCCCAAATGTCACTGACGCTTTCGTACAGGTTCTCGGGGACACAGGACTTCCCCGACTTCTCCCGTTTTGCCCCCTTCTTCCAGTTAACGTCCACGGCCTCGTAGTCCGGGTCGGGGCCACGGCCCTGAGCAGTCCAGGCTCTGTCGTTGATGGACTCGTAGCAGGGATCTGGGGGGGCTTGGGCTGCCGAGGGCCAGCACCCAGCCTGGGCACCCTCCCCCCGGCAGGTGGGGGGCCACCCAGCACCCACCTCCTTCGCAGCCCCTGGGGATGACGCGGGGACCTGAGTTTTCTTCTTGGTGGCTTTGCACACTGTCGAGTACATCTCTTCCAGCTGTAAAGAGAAGGTGGGGGTTCAGGGGCAATCCCTGCCCATGGAGGGGTATCCCCATGCTCCCCCCGGCTTCCCACAGCCCCCAGCAGTGGGTTACCCATTGGGGATCCCACTTTTTGCACAACCCAGGGAGCCTTTTGCAGGGCACAGAGAGCAGCCCTGGGGGCATCGCCTGCCCTTGGGGGCTCAGCTTCATCCCGCCCCCCCCAAAAGCCTCCCCCCAATGCAGTAGCCTATTTTGATATGGGCATTACAGGGAGACAGGGCGTTACGCAGCCCCCCCGTGTGCCCCATTCATCCCGCCCCCCCCAAAAGCCTCCCCCCAGTGCAGTAGCCTATTTTGACATGGGTATTACAGGGAGACAGGGCGTTACACAGCCCCCCCATGTGCCCCATCCAGCAAGCACAGCACCAGCCC